CCAGTTTGCACTCCCACCAATAGTGCAGGAGGTTCCTTTTTCTCCACATCCTCGCCAACACTTGTTGTTGCTAGTTTTTTTAATATATGCCATTCAATCCAACTCAAAAATGGATTAAAGAACTAGACATAAGACCTGAAACCATAAAATACATAGAAGGAAATATAGGTGAAACACCACATGACATGCACCTCAAAGACATCTTTACAGACACATCACCCAAAGCAGTGATAGTGAAGGCAAAGATAAACAGCTGGGACTACATCAAATTAAAGAGCTTCTGCACAGCAAAAGAGACAATAACAAAAACAAAGAGAAACCCCACCAACTGGGAGAACATTTTTGCACACGACACTAATGATAAAGGACTGATAATAAAAATCTACAAAGAGCTGACGAGACTCAACAAAAACAAACAAAATAATCCAGTCAAAAAATGGGCAGAAGAGGTAAAAAGAAACTTCTCCAAAGAGGAAATACAAATGGCCAACTGGCATATGAAAAAACATTCAATGTCACTCGCAATCAGGGAAATGCAAATCAAAACTACAATGAGAATTCATACTGTTAAGTTGGCCATAAAGGTTAAAAAAAAACCAACAACATGTAGAGCTCTGTATCCAGTGTCCCCCTAGAGCCCCCACAGGCGGTTTTGTGTAGAGTTCTCATAGGGTTGTGGGCACCCAACTCCCTCATTTTCCATCCTGGAGTGCTTCTTGTTTTTTTTTTTAAAGATTTATTTTTTTAATTATGCATACAAGAACAGGGGTACAGGCCAGAGGTGTGGGGGTGGGGGATGAGAGGATTCACCAGAGACAGAGTGGGGAACAGAACAGGTGGATTTTGACTGAAATACACTGCTGAGGGAAGCAGTGGGCTAGACAGGAGGAGTCTGCTGTACCATGTGGATTTCTCCCTGCCTGGGATTCAAAGTCATGCTGCAGTGGCTGCAGATAGCTTCATAGGTTGAGTCTTAACCTCTTGAGCCACCAGGGAGGACCCCTGCTCCCCTGGAGTGCTTCTTGAGCACTCTTTTCTTTCTTTCTTGGTTTTTTTTTTTTTAAAGATTTATTTATTTATACAAGAACCAGGGTCCAGGCCAGATGTGCTGGTGGGTGAGAGGATTCACCAGAGACAGAGCAGGGAACAGAACAGGCAGACTGATGAAATACACTGCTGAGGGGAGCAGCAGGTGAGACAGGAGAGGTCTGCTGCGCCATGTGGGATTCTCGCTGGCTGGCCAGGATCGAACCCACGCTGCAGAGACTGCAGACAGCTTCATAGTGCAGCGCTCAACTGCTTGGGCCAACAGGTTGGCCCATGAGTACTCTTTTCTATTTCTCTTAATATCTTCTCTTTTTCTGGAAGTTTCTCCAAGAAACTTTCCTTACATTCTCAAAAACACACAGTAATATTTGTGTCCTCTTCACCCTTATTTTTGGTTCCATTGTGTTGTGATTTAAATAACAGGCATCATTGAATTGTTTACTTGGGTAGATGCCTTTCATTTTTACTAAAATGCTTGCTCCCTACTTGATATCCTAGTAGCCAACATAGTGTCTCGATTCTGGCAGATGCGATTCTGGCAGATGCTTAATGAATGCTATTCATGATAATCCACACTTCCTCTCATCATACCCCAGGTCGTAAATGTTGTTTTACACAGGCTGATGTACCAGCCCATGCAGCTTTGCTATTAAGCAGTAAGTCACAGATCATTATAACAATTCTCAAGAAGTCAATATAATTATATCAGAAATCCCACACCTATTTTCAAAAACACCAAAATGTTTTTTGATGTTTGAGGTCTTTACAAAATGAGACAAAAATCTTCTCAGATAAATAGGATCTACTTGGAGAATTGTCCATGGACCATTCTTTGAAGATGAGTGCGAGACTTCACTAATTCATGTTTCTCATCATGGAACACCAAGACTCATTCTTAGAGACACATTCATCTAGCCACATCATGAAGCCAGAGAGGTATCCTCTTATTGCCCATAGCAAGATGAAAGATTTAATTTCTATCATTAACACTTACTAATGTACTACTAGAAAGCGAATTTGATCAGCAGGACAGAATCACTCAATAGAAAACTAGTTATTTCTGGTCACAGTAGCATCTGCTCATCATATCAGTAATCAAGTTATTGCCAGTTAATCTGGCTTGGACTTTTTTTTTTTTTGGTGGGACACTCACCGGCGGCCCGGGAATGAACCGGCACTGCAGAGGCTGCGGGCAGCATTGCAGCCCAGTGCTCAACTGCTGCGCCACCAGGGGAGGCCCCTGGCTTGGACTTTTGAGTCACATCCTAACAAAGTCATCCAGTCAAAAAGACCGCTGATTAACAATGTTTCTAATATTCCTGTTCTATACTAGGCAAAATCCTAGGTAATAAGGTAATTAAAAAATTATATAATGACTCTCTCAAAAAACATACTGCATATGTAGGATAATGAATTTTACTCATCTCAAACAATCTGAGAGTGGGTTGCATATTTATCTAAAAGTCAAGTTTCAAACACCAGACTAACTGCATCAGAAACTGGGTGAGGCCCAGCAATCTGTCATTTTAACAAGCCCTTTACATCATTTTGATGCACATTAAAATTTGAGAAACACTGTGTTAAGTCAACTAAGCTAGTTCAAGTCAACATACCAGCTGATCACACCAGGCTGAGTAATGGCACCAGCCTAGGGTTAATTAGAGCATCCTTAACAACCACTCATTGAAGGTGCTGGGCCTCCAGCTTCACAGTGAAAAAACTATTTATTTATTTATTTTTAAAGATTTATTTATTTATGCATACAAGAATGGGGTACAGGCCAGAGGTGCGGGTGGTGAGAGGATTCACCAGAGACAGAGTGGGGAACAGAACAGGCAGATTGACTGAAATACACTGATGAGGGGAGCAGCAGGCGAGTCAGGAGAGGTCTGCTGCACCATTTGGATTGCTCCCTGGCTGGGGAGCGAACTCTTGCTGCAGTGGCTGCCATTAGCTTCATAGGCTGTGTCTTAACCCCTTGCACCATCAGGGAGGCCCCATTTAATTTATTTTGAAAACAGTTTAACATGGAGTCAATTTTTTTTTTTTTTTGGAAAGGAAGAAATAAAACTGTCTTTATTTGCATGGGATATGGATTTATACATAAAAATTCTTGAGACTCAACACACACTGATAGAATAAATTTGTTAATTTAGCAAAGTTTATAGTTACATGTTAATTTGCAAAAATTTGTTAATTTAGCAAAGTTTATAGTTACATGTTAATTTTTTAAGTGTATTTTACACTTGCAATATAATTTTAAAAATAATACCATTTAAATTAACATGAAAGTACATTAATATAAATCTAATAGAAATAGATAAGTTGATAATGTTGGACAATATAAAACATTAAGAGAAATTAAGGAAGCCCTCTATGAATGGAAGACTATACATTGCAGAGCCAATTCTTTACTATCTGAATTACCTGTGCAACTACCTGAATTATTAGTGCAACTACACAGGATTCCAGGCTAATTCCCCCAATTCAGATAGAATCCTTTCTTGCTACATCTGTAAGATTATATAAATTGACCTCAGAATGATTACTCTATAGAAAACCAAATGTCTGCTTCCTTTCATTAACATGTATCAAGAGTTGTCAAACAAGGACAGGTCACAAGAATTAAAATCATATCAAGTCTAGTCCAACCCTCTCCCCCTATTAGTGTTAGCACAGAGCAGTCTGGAGTATGGGGAACACATACGTCCTGATCAGATGGCAAAGAGCAGTAGGCAGCCAGCCAGGCCCCATGGAGACCAGCCTGTGGGCATGGCTCTCTCAACTGCTCACCTGGGGCCTTTAGGTGAACTGTCAGATTAAGGCTTATTGTGTTTGGAACTTCCTGTCTTGCCATAAGATCTTTCTTCCCTGAACTGTAGTTCCATATCTCTGATCTTGGTCTGCTAACCTGGCCCTGATGACTTCTTTGATTAGCTGTTCTTGAACCTAAACCCTCTTTGGCTATTATTAATACAACCATTCTGATTCATTAAAAACAAAAACAAACCACAGGTCTGTCCCTCTGATGCACAGAAAGGTAGAGGTGTACTTTTTTTTTTTATTATAAACATACTGAAGAGGGCAATTTCATAAATCCTCTGGAAATTTGGAGTATTTCTATCCATCATCATAAAGATAGTCATTATCCCCACTTTGTTAATCTATTCTGCAATGTTTACTCTAGCTGAATGTGTGATTTGTGGGTTCACAGAGATAATTTAATTCAACTTAACTTATAAAGAAACACCTGTTCAGTGTAGGATAACATGCTGGGCCCCAAAGAGATGAGCCTGACACACTCAGAATATGATACCAGATTAACAGCCCCTCCAAAGAATGCCCATATCCCAGTTCCAGAAGCCTGTTGATTTATTACTTCACAGGAGAAAAAGAACATGAGGTGAGATTAGATTAAGGAACTTGAGATGCAAAATTTTCTCTATATCATCTGGTCCCAATTCAATCACAAGGATCCTTAAAAGAGAGAGGCAGGAGGACCAAATTAAGAGAAATAGGTGAAGAGGTCAAAGAGAGAGGAGATCTAGATTCAAAGATGCTATGTTGCTGAGTTTAAGGATGGCAGAAGAAGCCATGAGACAAAGGATGCAGTGAGCCTCTGGAGATTAGAAAAAAAAGGGGATGAATTCTCCTGCAGTGTCTCCAGAAGGAATGAAAAGGACACCTGACCTCCAGACTGTAAAATAATTCATCTATGTTGCCTTAACCCACAAAGTTTGTGACAGTTTGTAATAACAACAGTAGTGAACATATACAGGTAGTTTACAATCTAGTAAGAGAAGATGGTGCAGGCAACTTCGATGTAATTCAGAAGGTGAGAATGTAAATAGAAATACAAAGATCTTGCTGAAAAAGCAAGTATTTCTGGCTGAAGAGAATAGGGAAGCTTCTGCCAGGACCACAGTTCTACTGGGCCCTGAAGGGTTGGGGAAGAGTTTGAAGGGGGAAGATCCAGGAAATAACAAGAGTAAATGAACGGATTTGGAAAGCATAGAATCAAACAAAAGCTGACCTGGCCCTTGTGACCATTTTCTCAGGAACAAAAATGACTTGATTAAAAATACTGCATTCTACTCAGGATATAATAGTCTCAAAGTTTATTTAAAATTTTGTAGTAACAGTCAACAACCATAGTATATGTGATATCATTTTAAGAGTTTAAATACAGAAATACAGATCTTGGGCAAGAACCCAAAGGGTGAACCTGGCATATCTGTAGACAGACAGACTTGACAGGGATAAATAGAAAAATAGATAAATAGAAAAATCATCATTTAAAATCATCTATTAACAATTAACAAGTTAGACATTTCCTACAATCTTCCTTAGCAAGTTAAACCAAAAATGGAATCCAATGGAATGATTTGGTAGACTTAATAGACTTTGAGGACTCACATTGATGATAGAAAAGACTTTAAAATCTAGTCCCTTTTGGCAGGTTTTGATTGTTTTGTTTGAAGTTGGAGCCTACCATTTTAAGAAAGACTATTTTAGCTTACGTTTGATAAAAAGACAATTACCCTGATAAAACCATTGTTAAACAACTTGAATTTGGGAATTGGGAAGGAAGGAATGGATGGTCCAGATTGCTGGCCTGCATTCCCCACCTCTTGGAATTTCTTTCAGAGACAGTGTGTTTTCCATATGATGCCCACACTCAGGTGCCTTCACAATGCTTGTTTTTTTTGTTCATATTCTGGTGAAATGGATTCCTTTTCACACTGTTCACATTCAGTCCAGGAAAATCTGGAGGAACAGCTAGTCTCCACTGGCCTGCTCCTGTAAGAATGTCTGGGGGCCTCTGCAGCAGGGTTCATATTCATATGGCAGGCCCTTGAGTCCAGGGGTGGAGCTGCATGCTTTGGAGACCAACCCGCTTCTCAAGAAGAACTGGGCAAATTGCAAGCATCCTCATTTCTCTTACTCCCCATTCTTCTGTCCGAGCCCAGAAACGTAACCTCAGATTGGCTGCATTCAAAGGGAATTTTCTGAGTCATTCTATCTCTCTTGAACTCTCTGTCATGAGGCAGTGATCGATTACTCTGGTTTTCATCATCTTCTACTGGAATACTTGGTACGTTGTCCAAGAAAAGAGGAGAAGGCCATCGGAAGGACTTCAGTGAGGTGGGAGGATCTTCAGAAAAATGTAATCTGGCTTCGGAACTTTCCAGAGTACTTAGGACCTAGTTAATCAAGAAGCAAACATTGAGTTAAACTTGAATAACCTTTCCTTTTGTCTCTTTTCTATCTACTAAGGATGATCTTTTATTTTAATGAAACTAACTATAGAATTTTGAGTTAGAAGGCATTATAGATTTGCTAAACTCCTTCATTTTAATGAGGAATTAAATGGCCTGTAGCAAAGACTACAAGCTAATTAAGTATCAGGTGACTGACTTTAGGTCTAGATTTGTCCAATTACTTTGTGACCCCAGAAAGGTCTACATTTTTTTTTTTAAAGATTTATTTATTTATTTATACAAGCACTGGGTACAGTCAGAAGCATGGGAGGGTGAGAGAATTCATCAGAGCCAGAACGGAGAGCAGAGCAGGCAGACTGATGAAGTACACTGCCGAGGGAAGCAGCGAGCAGCAGGAGAGGTCTGCGTGCCATGTGGGACCCTCACCCCGCGGCCAGGGGTCCAACCGGTGATGCAGAGGCTGCGGGCAGCTTCGCAACCCAAAGCTCAACTGCTGCGCCACCAGGGAGGCCCGAAAGGTCTACATTTTTAACTATAACCTTTATTATGTGGAGAATTGGAAGGGGCTGACGGATGATGAACCTAATTTGTAGGTCTCAAGTGACAGAGATATCTAGGGGAGTTTTCTTAAAATACAGATCCCTTAAAATACAACCCCCAACCTAAAAATTGTCATTCAAAAGGTATGACTTGGTGGGGGGGGGTGGAGGTCAGTATTTTCTAATGAATATGTATTTTGAAACCTTCCCAATTGATGTGAATGTGCAGCCTGAATTGAGAATCACACATGCAATGGAATATATATATTCAATACACACCTATAGAAAGTTTCATAATTTACAAAGTGCTTTCAGATACACTGCCTCATTTAATTTGTACAATCAACATTATTATTTTCATTTTACAGATAACAAAGCTAAGGCTCAGAAAAAGTCTGCCAAAATTACTAGCAAGTAAGGAGTGAACCTGTTGCTTGACCCCAGATCTCCTGGTTTCCAATTCCATGTTCTCTCTACTCTATATCTCATGACTCTTTCCTGGGCCCAAGATTCCAGGTCACACAGCACTTAGTGGTGGTGTCAGCCCTAGAATGCAGTTCCCCTGACTCCCTGGCTAGTGTTCTTTATATTCTGATTATGTCAACTCCATGTTGGCTCTACGATAGGCTCAGTATAAAACCCAAACACTTAGGATGGAATTCATGTTGTTGTATCACCTGGACCCTTGTATTATTTTAACTACCCCAGCTTTTCCTTCACCCCCACCCCACTTCCATGATGCTGAACTACCTGCAGTCTTTTTTTTTTTAATTCCTTTTTTTTAAGATTTATTTTTTTTATTTATACAAGAACTGGGATATAGGCAGATTCACGGGAAGGTGAGAGGATTCACCACAGACAGCGGGGAACAGAACAGGCAGACTGATGAAATACACCGCTGAGGGGAGCAGCGGCCGCAATAGGAGAGGTCTGCCGCACCATGTGGGACCCTTGCCAGCTGGGTTGGATCAAACTGTGGCTGCAGAGGCTGCGGACAGCTTCACAGCGTGGCGCTCAACCACCTGTGCCACCAGGGACTACCTGCAGTCTTTGACCTGAGGAACCCATCACCTGTGAGTCTTGCCAGATGTAGATTCTCTCTGCCTAGAATGTACTTCCAGCCTTACTGCTGCCTAAAACCAATCTGTTCTTCAGATCAGTGCTTAATTGCCTTCAAGAAGCTTTTTGACTTGCGTAGACTGAGAGGTATTCTGACTCTGGGCTCCCCTATCAGCCTGGGCTGCCATCCATCATTATGCTAACCTTGCTGCACTGGAATTCCATGTTTACTAATCTACTCTCCCTTTGGATTGTAAACTTTAGAGAAGCAACTGTATCTTGATCACTTTTGTATCCTCAGTGCCAGTACAGTCTGCTACATGCTAAGTAGGCATTAAACAGACATTTGTTGAACAAATCAATACCAATACAAATACAAATGTATCCTCAAATCAACAAATAGATGACCAAGTTAAAAAATCAATAAGGGAACACTAAATAGCTCTGATCTCTTAATGAAGGCTAAAAAAATATTCTTTCCAAATTACTCACTTTGATTTTTTCATTACTTTTTTTTGCAGTGTCTTGCTTCTACCCATAAGCACTTCTACCAGTCCTTATTGGATGTGACTTTTTAATCTGGCAAAGTTATTGGGTTAGAATTTTCTGTTGGGGGGATTTGTCTCAATGATAAAGAATTCACTTAGATACACAATTTATCCAACTTAGATTTTCCATGGTTCTATGGGCTCAGTTTTAAGCAAAACCACGTCTATACACACTTCATCCATTGATGGTCTCAATTTTGCCCGCGTTGCCACACACTGGCCTGCCAAAGAGAACAGCTTGGCAGAAAAATTTCGAGGACAGGGATCCACTTTTTTATCTAGAAATGAGAGACATGCATCAAGGCCTCTCTTCTCCATCAATTCCATAATGAGATCCCTCTAGGAAGAGAAGAAGACAATCATTACCATTTAGAACTCTGTCAGAAAAATAACCAAGAAACAATGCAGAAATGAAGACAATTCTTACCAGCTGAATATGCTTTGGATCATCTAACACTACTTTGCAACCTGTGAGAACTTCCATGATTACCTGCAAAGAACATATAGAACGTTGGCTACATATGTTAGCTATAAACACATAATTAGTTATAATTAACCATAAGACTGATAACAATGAATACTGTTCATTCTAATGAATTACTTTGTATTTTTATTATTTAATGATACAAATTCATATATAAGACAATGAGTAACAAGAAATCAGTAAGTCCTAAAGCTAAAACCCTTGAGAAATTCCTAGAATTTAAAGCATTCTTTTTTTTTTTTTTTATATATAGAGGCATGTTTTATTTATTTATTTGTTTGTTTGTTTGTTTTGTTTATACATGCACTGGGTACAGTCAGAAGCGCGGGAGGGTGAGAGAATTCACCAGAGCCAGAGCGGGGAGCAGAGCAGGCAGAAGGACCGAAGTACACTGCTGAGGGGAGCAGCGGGCGGCAGGAGAGGTCTGCGGCATGTGGGACCCTCCTCCAGTGGCCGGGGAGCAGCCGGGGATTGAACCGGCGCTGCAGAGGCTGCGGGCAGCTTCGCAACCCAGCGCTCAACCACTGCGCCACCGGGGAGGCCCTAGAATTTAAAGCATTCTTAACAATAAATGCCTCCTTTGTGAACCAGCAGTTGGTACTTACAATTCCAAAGCTGTAGACATCTGTTTTAATGGACAGCTTGCCTTGCCTGATATACTCTTCTGGCATGTACCACAGGCGTCTACTGCTGCTGTTGGTCATGCTTATGGTAGAGCTCTGGTGTTCTAGGTGGGGCCGGAAGTGTGCCATGCCAAAGTCAGTTAGTTTGGGTTGAAACTGATCATCCAAAAGTATGTTCGCACTAAAATTGTGATCAAGGACAAACAAGACAAAACATGATAAAGACATTTCAGTGAAAACAGGACAAGCTCACCTACATATCCAGTTAATGCCCAACACTAATAAACTAAAGCCATACCATGATTTTCCATGAACTAGAGAGCATTGTCTTATCTTAAATATAAATCCAGGTGTTATAGAAAACCTAAGATTAAAAACCTGACCTGGGAAGAGTGGCCATTTCAAATTTACAGTTACCTATGGAGTTTGGTGGATAAAGCTGACATTTTGTCAATAGGAAAAATTAAAGCTAACCAAAGCAGCTTTCCTGTGCTATTCTTACACATAATGAGACTATGAATAGTTTCCATCAGCTAATCATTGTCTATTATGTACACAGAGCTGTGCTGCAGAATGTGCTGACCTGCAATGACTAAACTCTTTGGTAGCCCCCATCCTAATAATAACCCTACTGCACTGTTTCTCCTCTACAGCTTTCTTGTCTGCGAGTCTTATTTAAAATATAAAGATCTGCAGAGGCAAAGGCAAAGTGTCTGGAGTCAGTTTTAGCTGTTTATCACACAAAAATCTTAATAATCACTTAGCACCTTGTTTAAGGGGAAGCAGCAGCTTACTCTGACCTCTGAAGGGCTGTTAGAGAGGAGTGAGAGAGGGAAGAGAAGAGGGAGCAACATTGCCTCTGGCACACTGTGACTGCGGACAGGCCGCTCCACTCCATAAGTGTCAGTGTCACCTCTCCCCACATGTGAATTGAAGAAAACTGATGTGAGATAATGAAGAGCCTACCGGCACCCAGTATGCTGGGTAAATGGTCACTAAGATCATGATTAGTAATTAGTCATAAAATACACTGGTAAAGGGGTGGGTGGGCCAAGAGAAAGCTCTCTACTTCTCAATTTTACTTATATGAGGTTGCTTTGCATCTCCTGAAGCAGAGCTTCTAACACTAGGCCTGCCTATGTGAAATGTGAAGTGCTGTATCTGTAGTATCACATACTGTTACAAAAAGTAATAATTGGGGCCTCCCTGGCAGCACGAGGGGTTAAGCACCACACTATGAAGCAATCCGCAGCCTCTGCAGCATGAGTTCCATCCCTGGCCCACCAGGGAGCAACCCACATGGCGCAACAGACCTCTCCTGGCTCACCCGCTGCTCCCCTCAGCAGTGAATTTCAGTCAGTCTGCCTGTTCTGTTCCCCACTCTATCTCTGGTGAATCCTCTCAACCCCCTGCATTTCTGGCCTATACCCCAGCTCTTGTATGCATAAATAAATAAACTTAAAAAAATAATAATAGCTATAGCACAAAACAAATAATAGCTATAGCACAACAACAAACAAACTCTTAATCCCAAACAAATACTGTATCTTACAAAATCACCAGAAGCTCTTCCTGTCCCAGTACAGATAGCTTGACAGGCAGACAGTTCCACAGATCTGAATGGCCAGGGTGACTACTATTCAGAGTATTCAGAATCCTCATTCTATTCAGAGGATTTGAAACAAAGGCCTCACAAGTTCTAGCCAAGTGTTTGTCTATATCTGAGTTGACAGGCAAAATGAAGGGACTCCTAGGTCCCGTTAAGGATAGAAAAATATATGTCCTAAACTTTATTTCATTCTCCTTCCTCTAAGGATGGTAGGAGAATTGCAATATCCCAAGACTCCACCTTACCCATCAGCCCTATGGTCTTCACTGCTATGTGATCCTTGTATTTGTGAGCAGAAAAGTCAGCAAGGTCCTCAAGACCTGTATCAATACAGGTAGTCTTAATTTTTCTCTTTGCCTTGTCTTTTCTCCCCAAATATGTCAAACATGGCAGCTTCTAAAGCCAGCCTGGGTCCTATACAGTCACATCCGGGTCACTCCACCCCCATTCTTAGATTTCTTCGTTTGGAGAACATTGTTGACGATTCTGACAGACCTCTGAAGATGGGGCCACACTAGGGTCACATCCTCCTTCTCTCCAGTACTAGATGAGGACAGACATTTTGTGTATAATTACTTCTTCCACAGGTGTACACTACACTTGCCAGATCGAGGCTGGGACTCCGGAGATGCGCTACTCGCTTCAGGCTACAGGGTATTTTGAGGAGGGGTTTGCCAGGTGTGCCGGGAGCTGCGGTGGGCTGAGAGGCTCATTACCTCTCCTTAATAGGACCCATGCTTCTGCCCTTCAGCTTCCGGTACTGAGAACCCGGCTTTCCTCCCACTCCCCCAGCCCACTGCAGCACGAGAGGAGGGCAGGGAAGCTCCGAATGCCAGATTCAATATCAAACATCTAACCCTTGGCTTCCTCTACCCCTGCGTAAAAGAAGGTATAGAAGGCCAAAAGCTGAAGCTGCAAAATATGTAGAATTCCTGAAGAATAGATCTTTTCTAAATATAAAAGAAAAAAAGCCACAACAGTAACAAAACCCATAAGTTAACCCATTTATTTGACCTTCAGCAAAACTGGCGGAAGCTTCCGGCAACTGGTGAATCATGCTTCTGTAAGAGTTAGGCAGAGGTGAGCTGGGTAACCACAAAGTGTTATGCTGTAAAACCACAGAGGACGTGGGGTCAGTGAGAGGCCATCAATAAGAATGTGAAATTGTTCTAGGGCACTGCAGTTACACTTTGAATAATGATATTTGGTGAAAAGACAAGTTGTTTACCAGCAGACTTTAGGGTATAACATAAATTTTGAGTCCAGTGATTTACTCTGTTCTAAATAGAGGTTAATGTTAGCTGAGGAAGAGGGATGTCTTGTTTTAGGAACGCGGGAATTGCAAAAGGCCCTTCAACAATCAATTCTACCCTGATTCTTTCTCCTGCCTCAACCTTAAATAGAATGTTCAAACATAAAGTGCCTTCAGCTACCAAGCAGGTCAACCGAAAAGGTTTATCCTACAGGGGTAAAAAACAGACTTAACAGAATAAAGACAAGATAAAACACCTCTGGGCCTCCCTGGTTGCACAGAGGTTGGGGTCTCAGCACTATCAAGCTATAGCCAGCCACTGCTCTGTGGCACCGGTTTGATCCCCGCAGACCTCTCCTGTCTCACTGGCTGCTCCCCCCTGTCTCTGGTGAATCCTCTCACCCTTCCACCTCTCACCTCTGGCCTACACCCCAGTTCTTGTATGCATAAATAAATAAAATAAACCTTAAAAAAAAAAAGATAAAATACCTCAGTGGTTCACACCTTCAATTTGGTGTTTCTATAACCTACTTCTACTCTTTCCCACAAAGCTACTTACAAAGTAGCCATCACTTCTCTCCACAATTCTTCTACCAGAAGGTCCAGAGATGGTGACACATGGAGGAGATGGAGAAAATCTTACACAAGGTGAATTTACATCCTGACGCTGAGTCTATCACTTACTCTCTCAATTGCTGGGGGTCACTAAGACAACTCTTTTTGGGAATCTGAACCCCTAAACCAAAGCTGTAAGAGTTGATTTATTTGCTTACCAGTTTATTTCCTAATTTAATTGAAGCTTTCAGGTCTTAAATACAAAGTAAGATGATACACTTAGATTGTAAAGCATGATTTGAATTTAAGTGCAAATACCATGTTTGACAAGGAAGCCCATGATTGGTTTGTAAAGCTATATATTGTTAAAGAGTCTTGGGGGGAGTTATTGGTGCCAACAGCCTAGGTACTGAGTTCCTGGCAACTCTCACGAAAAGTCTGACTCCACTAAGGAGGGACAGAGGACCCAGTTGGCCTCTCCATGACAATTGTGGCAACAGGACATCTTGCTCTATGTGTCAATGCTGTTGCAATACCAAAATACCCCTCCTGAAAGGGTCCTCCCCTACCAGACGACCCGGTTTCTCTGGGAACTTGCTGCAGTCCTCCCTGCTTTTAATCATACAGTACGTTTAGCCCTAAATATGAAGCTGAAACCCTTCTTCCCCCTTGGATTATGGAGCTTACAATTTCTCCCTCTTTTTTTCCCACTGAGACAAATAATACTCAGAGACAGTATTAAAGCTTGTTTTTGCTCCACTGGTGCTGTGTGAGCAAAAACAATAGCCAGTATTGTCAATACCCAGTCAATAGCCAGTGTTTCTCTTTCAAATAACCAAATTAGGCAAAGCAGCAGCAGCTCTCTGCCCACCTGTGACTATGCAGGTGCCTCTTTTCCTTTCTCCTTTTCCTAATAAACCTGTCCTTTTAAAATGTAAATAAAGGCCTCCCTGGTGGCGCAGCGGGTTGACCACGGCACTGTGAAGCTGTCCGCAGCCTCAGCAGCGCTGGTTCGATTCCTGGCCAGCCAGGGAGAAACCCACATGGTGAGACAGACCTCTCCTGTCTCACCCACTGCTCCCCTCAGTAGTGTTTTCCTCAGTCCATCTGTTCTGCTACCTGCTCGGTCTCTGGTGAATTCTCTCACCCTCCTGCACCTCTGGCCTATACTCCAATTCTTATATAAAATAAATCTTTAAAAAAAAATTGAAATGTAGGACCTCCCTGGTGGCGCAGTGGTTGAGTGCTGGGTTGCAAAGCTGCCTGCAGCCTTTGCAGCGCCGGTTTGATCCCCGGCCACCAGGCGAGGGTCTCATATGGTGCGCAGACCCCTCCTGCCGCCCACTGCTCCCCTCAGCAGTGTACTTCAGTCTTCCTGTTCTGCTCCCCCCTCTGACTCTGGTGAATTCTCTCACCCTCCCATGCTTCGGACTGTACCCAGTGCTTGTATAAATAAATAAATCTTTTTAAAAAAATTAAAATGTAAATAAAAAAATAACCAAATTAGTACAACTCTCCTAAGTCTCAGTTTCCTTAAAGGTCAAAAGATCTGATAATGCTTACCACACAGGAAGGTTATAATAGTAAATGAGAAAAATCAAGAAGGATGCTTGGTACACAGGTGGGGTCTCCAAATGTGCTTTGGAAGATGTAGGCTGGCCATTGTCCATCTTACATCCACCACCTTAGTTCAGAATCCCAAGGAACTTGGTAGGGTATCTCTAGAAGTTCAAGGACACTAATTTAAAGCAACAAAAGTCCAGGAGACTGCACAATCACCCTGGAAATCTGAGGACACTTGGGTTAATAGGTTTCATGGTATCGGCTGCATCTCAAAATAATTCCAGAGAAGTTCTGGAAGAACTGGACTAAAACAACATTTCCAGATCTTTTATGACAATGGGGAGAAAAAAAAATATTGTTTGGCATGTATGTGTGCAAGCATTTATGTATCTATGTGTATAAATAAATGAATGTTGAAGTCTAGAGAGAGTGGTAGTGAAAGGATTACTATGAGAAATTTTAAATTATGTAACATTTAATTACTCTTGTCAACCCTTAGAAAAATGAACATATTTGGATATTTTATTTATTTATTTACATTTTAAAAGGACAGGTTTATTAGGAAAAAGAGAAAGAAAAAAAAGAGAGAAGCACCTGTGTGGTCACAGGTGGGTAAGAGAGCTGCACATGTTAAGATATTTTAGAAGAAGGGACACACTAGAGGGAAATAGTAAAGTCTGGAAAGAAAAATTGCTTCTGTCTATAATGTTTCTAAAAAGCAAAAATAGATTTTCAAAGAGGAGGATGGAAGGGAGGAGTATGGTTAATCAAAGAAACAACCAACCAACCAACCAAGCAGACAGCAATTCCTGTAGACTCTGCCATTCCTACAAAACACTGAGCTGGACACCTCAGGTCTAAAGGGTGAAAGCAGGAGGAGCTTGGTCCTTATGTGAGATGTCCCAGTTACAGGAAGGGGCCTGTCTGTGGCTCTCACCCTCTTTCCCGACCATCCACTCTTTCTAGTTCCTCACAAAGAAAGTTTACCATGTGCTTATGACTATATATCTTTGATCAGTTTCTGTTTTTAAAATATTCACTTTTAAGCAAATGACTTTTTCCTTCTTTTCTTTCCAAGATCACCTCCCATGTGTGAAAAATTGTGTAACTTGACAGGAGACAAACAGCAATAGTGATGAGAGACATGGTCATATAGGAAAGATTAGAAATGATCACCAAGATTATCTCCTCATTTTGGAGATAAATAGGAATGAATGTCTGGGATGAAAAATGCCAACAATAAAATGCATTTCAACTTGAAATTTTTCATAAATGTGAAAACAATTATGCTTGCTAAGGGATAGTATGGAAATAAGAAGATTTACTGCTTTCAGATGCTTTTATATGATCTTATAAATTCAAAAACATTTTCTTTTCCCAAATAAAATGTGAGGGTCTTTTGCCAAGAACAGAGACTTCAACTCTTCAAGATTCTTTTCTTTAAATCCCTTTCCGTCTCAAATTCCAGCATCTGGAAATGAATTTTGTTTTTATAACATTCTCTTTGAAGAGTTCAAATTACTAAGACATTTTTGGGCTAACTGAATCACCAGACTTCTTGAAAATACCTTTGAAATGTGGGCTTGGTTTCCTCCTTGGGTGTTCTGCAGCTGTGTCCTTGACAGCATCTTCCTTAGAACACTATTTAGTCTCACTGCTGGAACAAGGCACAGATTCCCAATGCAGACCCCCAGTTCTAGTCTCCCCCTTAAGTTCCACTGCCTACCACCATTTTCAGGAGAAGTCAACATTTCCAAATTTCCACATGCTAATTATTTTTCCCTCTCCTGCCCAATTTCCTCGTCTTTGCCTATGAATCTGTTGTAGAGCAACCCCGATACAAAACGGGGTGCCTGACTGTGGGTCCTCACCCGCGCGCTTAAAAGGACTTATCAATGCTCTACTGCAGGCACACGTGAAAGGTTAATAAAAGGTTTATTTACAACGGAAAGGGAAATGAGGAAATGTACAGCTCTGGGAGAAAAGTGGGAGACAAAGTTTTAAATGCGTCCTACCCGATCCGCCGATCAGGAATCCCAAAATGGCGCTCTCAGTTGGCCGCCAGCCAGGAGCGGTGAAGCCAGGAGGCGAGCGATCGCGAGCCAGAGAGAGGGAGCAAGGCCCACGTGTTTGGTTTTTATATCCAACCTGGCTGCCCAACTCCACCCTCAGGTCCCAGCCACCCTCCCCTTGGTGGTGATGGGATTTGTCTTTCCCAATGTCCTGATGGCTTTAGTCTGGAGTGGGGGTGGAGTCCACAAAGCCTGTATGAGATTATCTCAGGACATCCTTTCCCCCTAACAAATCCAACATAATCCAGAATCCCAGGTAGGAGTCAATTGTTGGACTCACAGAAACATGACATTGCTCCTCCCTTTCCCATCTACAGATATGTGTCTACAGGCAAGTTACCAACCCCTGTCTCAGCCATTTCCTCGGTCAAATAACAAGTTATTCAATAGGCTTTTATGTCAGGTCTAAAGCTCTATGGCTTCCACTGAGTTCCCTAATCTGGTTTGGATCTACCATATGCCCTTAAATTATTAGTGCTTACCCATGCAGTCAGGATGGATTGTGCTTGTTGTGCTTGGGGGTTTTCTTTATGCTGTTCCATAGTCTGTAAAGTACCTTACCCTCTTCCCCTTACTTTTATCCAAATCCTTTTTCCAAAGGATTTCTTCCAGAAAGTTTTCACTCAACTACCCTGAATTCCAAGAACTTCTTTTCCATAAGTTCCTACTGTACAGTATGCCCTATACTATTTGTACCTATTCTTATTAAACTAGCTTATATTGTTTACATAAGTATAATGCTGAGTCTCTAGAAGCAAGCATGTGTTGATATGATCAGTTAGGAGCATCTGAAACCATGAGTAATCTTAGATCACTGGCTTAGGAATGGCATATTAGTGGCCCAAGTGTTGCCAAGACAACCGCCTGGATTCTAAGCAGACATGACTAATTGAGTTCAGAATGCATCCACCCCAGATTCCTTTTCAACATTGCACATGGAAAATCAGCCAGGAATGAGAGGTTGTAAGAGGATTGACTTGACATTTCCATATAATACTTCTTTTTCAGATGAGGTAAATGAGGTCCATATGATTGATGTCTTATCCAATTGTTAGGGGAAAATAATGTCCTGAGTTAATCCCATACAGGCTTTGTGGACTCCACCCTCACTCCAGACTAAAGCCATCAAGACATTGGAAAAGACAAATCCCGTCACCACCAAAGGGAAGGTGGCTGGGACCTGAGGGTGGAGTTGGGCAGCCAGGTTGGATATAAAAACCAAACACGTGGGCCTTGAAATGGCTCGCTATCGCTTGCCTCCTGGCTTCACGGCTCCTGGCTCGCGGCCAGCTCTCAGAGCGCCATTTTGGGATTCCTGATCAGCGGATCGGGTAGGACTCATTTAAAACTTTGTCTCCCACTTTTCTCCCTGTGCTGTACATTTCCTCATTTCCCCTTCCCTTGTAAATAAACCTTTTATTAACCTTTCGCGTGTGCCTGCAGTAGAGCATTAATAAGTCCTTTTAAGCGTGCGGGTGAGGACCCACAGTCAGGCACCCCGTTTTGTATCGGGGTTGCTCTACAACACTATATGCAAAAGCTTAAAATGCAAAATGACGGGGCCAAGACTAGAGCCTAGCCCTCCTTTTTTCCTGTTCAGTGCTCTTTCCTTACAAAGATTTAGAAAATTAATACAACAACACAGGTCATAAAAATTACTAAAGGCAAGGAAAAGAAATACCTTTTTACTCAGCTACTCATTAAACATTAAAAACTGTTGATTACAATGCAGAGATGAAATTAATTTTTATCCTTTTTTTAGCTATATATATATCATTCATGACAAAACAATCAGTCATGGGAAAGCTTTTTGCTCAAAATAGTTTGTAATAACTAGTTACACCTAACTGGAGCTCTGAAAATGAGCTGTGCAAGAGTCCAAGGACAGTTCGATGAAACACGCCAGGAGGTCGAAGAGGTGAGTCTCCATTAGTTGTGAGGAATTATAATTTGTTGTTAAACCCTAGATTTTATATAAATGGTATCACTTCATTGCCACACCCTGGGGGGAGGTACAGTAGTAACCTGACTGTTTCCAGATAAAGAGATAGGACACCAAGTGTCATGGAAATGAAGTAACTTATTTCAGGTAACTCTGCTAGAAGTAGTTGAACAGGGATTTGTGTTGAGATCTCTGTGGCCCCGCAAAAGCCACATCTTTAACCAGTAACAAGCCACACATGGCAAGCGTGTTGAAAAGGAAAAGGACCCAGAAAAGACTGGAGGGAGGGTGTTTCTGGAAACCAGCATTTCAGGAGCTTGCTTTAGGTCTGTGCTAGGGTGAGCAGGTCTCTGGAGCTTCCTCCTAATCTTATGAGCTTATCCTCACTCCTGAGCTGATCAGGGCAAAGGTTGGCCTGGATTTTATGTGGGGTCATCTCATTTTCTTGTCACAACCCCAGGATGTGTGAGAATATAGCACAGTACAAAAGCAGGTAAGTGCAATATCACAGAATTTGAAAGCAAGAAGTCCAACTTGAGATCATCTCGACTGGCTTTGAATGCAAAGAGTTCACTGGGCTGAGAGCATGAGGCAGGGCCTGGATTTCCCATACTCTTTCTGAACATCCTCAGGGACAGTGTCCACACCATTTTGTTTTGCAAAGATAAAAGGTGTTGCTCAGACTTTGAGCACCAGGCTGCTGAAAAATGACTGACAATCTCAAATTATTTAAGTTAAATAGTTTAAATGTAACTAACACTTTAAGTTAAATACTGACTCAAACTTTCTTAAACTATTTAGAAAACCACAAAGGTATAAGATTATCAACCTTTTTATTAATAGAATTAATGATAGAGAATGAATGAAAGGATAACTTCAGGATTTCAATTAGTAACTCAATACTCCCTCTGGGCATTTCTTTTTTTTTTTTTTTTTTTTTTTTTAATAAATTTTATTGTTATATTCCCCATACAATTGCAGCCCCCCCATTCTGACCCCAATCCCTCCCCTCCCACCCCCGCCCCCCTAAAAGTGTCTCTGGTTCATAGTTTTTTGTTGATTTTGATTTTCACTTTCTTATAGTTATTCATTTTCCTGGTCCCTTATTTAAGTTTTCTAGATTCCTGCTATGAGTGAGACCATCCGGTATTTTTCTTTTTCTTTTTGGCTTATTTCGCTGAGCATGATCCCTTCCAGCGCCATCCATGTTGCTGCAAATTGCATGTGTTTATCTTTTTTGAATGCTGAGTAATATTCCATGGTATATATGGACCACATCTTCTTGATCCAGTCATCTATTTTTGGGCATTTGGGTTGTTTCCAAAGCTTAGCTATTGTAAACAGTGCTGCTATAAACATAGGGGTGCAGGTGTTCTTTGGAATTGATGTTTCTGTGTCCTTTGGGTAAATACCTAGGAGTGGAATTGCTGGATCATATGGAAGCTCTATGTTTAGTAGGTCCAGAAATCTCCATACAGCTTTCCACAGTGGTTGGACCAGTTTGCACTCCTCTGGGCATTTCTGATTACTTGGCTTGAGATAGAAAGGTCTGATGCCAAGTTATTTTTCCTAATACAATTTATTTCTGTTATCAGAATGTAACACAGTCCTTAAATACAAGTTTTAAAAACAGTGGAAGTAAAAAATAAACCATTAAAAAAAAAAGCCCTATAGTCTCTTCATTTAAATAAAATCTTATTGATATTTGGCTATAATTGTCATTTTGTCCTATGTCAGTTTGACTTTTTCACCAAATCTCAGTTTATGCACATTATTTCATACTGTTAAAATACTATTTAATAATGTCAAAGGACGTGTGATAGACTCTTCTGTGATTCATGAGTCTGAAGCACAAATGCAGAAAAGAAAATAAATATCTTCCATTTCTCACTCCAACAAAACAGAGCACTGACTTACTCATAGAAAAGGCCACCATTAACACATTCTGAGATGTCATTTTTGAACCAGTTTTCAGGGAGTTACAATAAATTAAAAAAAACTGCCTTTCCTTACAAAGATTTAGAAAATTAATACAACACGGGTCAAGGAGTAGGGATTTTAGATCTTCCTAAAGCACTATGTGGTACACAGAGGATCCAAGAATCAGGGAGGCCCAAGTTTAGAGTGAAGTGAAGGATTCATTTAAAATAGATTCAGGAGGGTAATCTGGGTCAGCCAATTCACGTCTGACCAAGACTGCTGGGGACTGAATGGCATTACCATCTGACAGATGTTCAGTGCCCTGAATAAATGAGTTGGTCTTACTCCAGTTTCAAGGGAACAGGTGTACACATCATGAAATGAAAGGAAGAGGGAAAATCTACTGTTATAGTTGGCACTAATTAACATCTCTGCTGGCAGGCTCAGGAGAAAGGCCCAGAGTTTCGTAGTTGTGGAAGGGTCTGATTTGTTCTGGGACAGACGGGGACACATTAATGAGCCCTTGGGAAACCATAGTTCTCGAATAAATGCCCATAAGCCTGAGGCTCCACACCTAGTGCCTCCTGGGTGGGTGCACACTATGGATGGCTATGTCTCAGTCCTCGAACCCTTTGGAAAACCCAAAAAGGAAATAGTCTTGAGTAACCCCTTTGGTAACTATTTAAAAAAAAAAAAACAAAACATGTTGAGTTGCATTTCTTATCATTTAAATTGCACTTAAAGGGCAGTTTAAATCATGCTCTTTCAATGAAATTCTCCCTATCTCTGATCAGATCTCTTTTGTTATTCTGTATCTATATCACCCATTAGGCATTTTGTCTAGCAGTATTAATTAAATGATTTATAGTTTGTCACATCCAAAGTAACCTGGGATGTTGGCCTAGAAGAAATGGCCTCTTTTTACATTGTAAGAAGACCTAAGAAACTCTAGAATTTGTTTCCACTTCAACCCCAGAAAAGTTTGAGTCCCTCTTGACTGCCTAATTTATGAAACCTAGGTCCTCAGCCTAGTCAATATTCAAGGTCACAGGCAACATCCTACCCATCACAATCCTTACTCCTCTCCAGTCTCATCTTTATTCTCCAACCTTATCTTTTCCTGTCCAATCTACCGATTTGTCTTCTTTCATTATACTTGGCAATTCTTTACAAATTATCACCTAAATCAGGAATCTTCTCTCCCATTCTCTCAACCAATCCATTGCTATAACCCATCTCTTCAAAGACTGCTTGGAACAACCTACCTAGAAGAAGCCTTTTGATACCAGCCATACCTTGGGCATATTCACTCTGCATCACATAGTTTCTGATTTGTGTTATGTCTCTGATCACCAGGTGGAGTCTTCAAGGATAAGACATTGACAGTCAATATATTTCCCTGCTCTTGGCTAATACAATGTCCTGTGCACAAGGGGCATTCCACAAATATTTGTGAACTGAAATGAATGTCGTTTTCAAAATAGGTTTCAATAAATATGTTAACACAGAAATGCTTTTTCTTAAAATAAAGCTTAGTTTATAGGTCCACTTTTCAAACACAATAAATTGATGGTGGAGGGAAGCGGTAGAGAATTTTTGTGTCTCTCTGCACTCAAAAGTCATATGCTGAAATCCTAGCCCTGAAGGTTACGGCACTGGGAGTTGGGGCTTTTGTGGGGTGATTAAGGTAAGAGAGCTCCGCACATGAGTGGGATCAGTGCCTTGTGAAAGATGCCAAAGAGAGATTTTCTCATTATAAAGGACTGATCACAAAAATCTGCAAAGAGCTGATGAGACTCAGCAACAACAAAGAAAATAATCCAGTCAAAAAATGGGCAGAAGAGCTAAAAAGAAACTTCTCTGAAGAGGAAATGCAAATGGCCAACAGACATATGAAAAAATGTTCAACATCACTTGTAATCAGGGAAATGCAAATCAAAACTACCATGAGATACCATCTCACACCAGTGAGAATGGCACATATTAAAAAAACTAGCAACAACAAATGTTGGCGAGGATGTGGAGAAAAAGGAACTCTTGTGCACTGTTGGTGGGAGTGCAAACTGGTCCAACCACTATGGAGAGCTGTGTGGAGATTTCTGGACCTACTAAACATAGAGCTTCCATATGATCCAGCAATTCCACTCCTAGGTATTTACCCAAAGGACACAGAAACATCAATTCCAAAGAGCACCTGCACTCCTATGTTTATAGCAGCACTGTTTACAATAGCTAAGCTTTGGAAACAACCCAAATGCCCAAAAATAGATGACTGGATCAAGAAGATGTGGTACATATATACCATGGAATATTACTCAGCATTCAAAAAAGATAAACACATGCAATTTGCAGCAACATGGATGGCACTGGAAGGGATCATGCTCAGCGAAATAAGCCAAAAAGAAAAAGAAAAATACCGGATGGTCTCACTCATAGCAGGAATCTAGAAAACTTAAATAAGGGACCAGGAAAATGAATATAAGAAAGTGAAAATCAAAATCAACAAAAAAACTATGAACCAGAGACACTTTTTGGGGGATGGGGGGCGGGAGGGGAAGGATTGGGGTCAGAATGGGGCGTTTGCAATTGTATGGGGGAATATAAAAATAAAATTTAATATTTAAAAAAAAAAAAAAAAAAAAAAAAAAAAGAGAGATTTTCTCACTTCATCCTCTAAGTGAGGACACAGAGAAAAGAGTAATCTAGGAACCAGAAAACAGGCCCTCACCAAACACGGAATTGATTGGCACCATGATCTTGGACTTCCTGGTCTTTAGAACTATGAGACATAAATGTATATTGTTTATAAGCTACCCATTTTTAGTGTTTTTGTTATAGCAGCCCAAAGGGACTAAGATAGTAAGTAAAAGAAGAAGTAAAAAGACGGATTGGCCAGCACATCTTTTAGCTTCTATCACTGCTACTCTTACTGCTTCTTCACCAATTATAACAGGAGCTACCATTGATGAGTGAGAATTCTTTGCTAAGCACCATGGAAATGCTATTTCACTTAACCCTAAGAGACAGAAGTTGCCATTTTTTTTAGTATTTTTTTTGCAGAGGGAAAAACTGGGCACTATAGAAGGTAAGCAATTTGCTCAAAAACACATGTGAAATGAAAAGTCAGCTTCTTAAATCAGATCTCTGATTTAATTAACAATGGGTACTGAAGTAAGAAAGAAGAGTAGGAAGAAGGAAAGTAACAGAAAAGAGGAAATCACTTGGTTACATTTTGCAGAGTGCCATCCAATCAAACCCTCCTGCAGGGCTGTGGTGGCTGCAGTGGTGTGGCCCAGATGCCCCCATGCCAGAGATACTGCTAGCCCAGACGAGAAAGGCTGGCTGCTAGTTTCTCACTGCTAAGCCCCAGCTTGGGAACTGCTGCGTCACCCAAGTTATAGGCCCAGTCAAGGCTGGTAGGGAGTAGGGGTGAAAAGCCCGAGCAGCTTGCCTTACCTTCAGATATCTCTGATAGGCCACCCCAACATCAGTGCTCACCATGGCATTAGTCAAGGCTTCTGTTACAATAACACAGCCCAACTCTGCCTTCCTTTTCTTCTCCCCTCCCTTACATTTGCTGTTCCAGAGAGTATTCCCTACGAAATCTCCTGCAGGCAAATCTCTGCTTCTGAGCCTGGGATCCTACCTGAACACACTAAGAGCAAGAAAGCAGAAATCAGGGCCTCAGCCTGTGCTCTAACCTCTTCCCATGACAGAGGTATGGGAGAGACACATCTAAATCTCCTCTACTGTTAGCCCTGGAAAACCTGGGTGACAGAGTGTGGGCTGGACCCTCCACCCCAATGCTTCCCTTCTCTGGTTAGTGGCCATCCCTGACCCCTTCTGCATTAAGCACTAGAATCTGACACTCTCTTCCTTTTTGCCCCTCTTACTTATCAAACTCTGCTTTTTTGAAAGGATTTAATAACCTGGTCAAAGGCACAAAAAAATCTTATAAATTGAACATGTTATTGCTTGGGATTTAAAATAAACTTATGCTAACTTAGAGTTTAAACTAAAGGAAGAACATCAACCACAAAATTCTAGATTTTATGTATGTATGTATGTATGTATGTATGTATGTATGTATTTACTCAGTTAGAACATGTATTTGAGCACTACTCTGCTGAATTGGTTGCAAGCTGGGTGGAAGAGGGATAGTTTTAGGATTGGAAGACCACAAATCCCTTTGGAACTGACCCTAGTGGCTAATTTCACTGAACCCTGAGATCTTCACAGTCTGTATGTGACCCAGGTCCCCTATGGATGCACCCATTTTATGCTGACTCTGTGGTCTACTAGCAGTTGATGAATTGACACTGCATCAAGAACAGACAGGTATAGGGAGTTCTTCCCACTAAGTGAAAATCTAGTCTTTTCATGTGGAGGTCATGTTCACTAGAAAAGCAAAGAAGTAAGCAATCAGCCCCTCTTCTGTCAGCTCAAAAGCACACTAAAAGCTTTTTTCAATATCCTCGGAGATTGGGTAAGAAGAGACAGCAGCCTTTAAAATTCAGTCTTCCCTGCTATTCAGCAAAAGTATATTTACCTACTTTTGGACAGCTCCGTGATAAAAAACTATAGGGAAAATTCACTGGGGATGAGGTTGCTCCAGGATAGCTAATAATAGCTGAATGATTCTTTATGTTCTTATGTCTATTAAAGAAGAAAGATGGGAGATGTTGCTTCTAATTTTCTCAGGTCTCAAAAATGAACAAAGGAGTTGCTGCTCAGCTTGTCACAGATTAATATACAAAGCTAAGAGGCAGCTGGCTCAGTAGAATCAAGAAGACACTGGAGACTCAAGGACAAAGAATTTTAATTGCCATTTACCATTGTTATCTTGCTAGGAATCTCCACTTAAGACACTTAACCTTTCCTTATACCTCAGTTTAAAAAAAAAAAAAAAGTGAGATTAGTACAGGTTCATTTCACAGCTTGCTAGAAGGTATAATTAATAAGATATACAGAACTGTCTATCTTATATTGTTCATTAATAATCCTCAAAGGGGGAGGGCTCCCTGGTGGCTCGGGGGTTAAAATCTCAGCGCAATCAAGCTATTGCCAGCCGCTGCAGCATGAGTTTGATCCCCAGTGTCCACTGCTCCCCTCAGCAGTGTATTTCAGTGAATCTGCCTGTTCTGTTCCCCACTCTGTCTCTGGTGAAATCCTCTCACGGCCCCCCACGTCTGGCCTATACCCCAGTTCTTGTATGCACAAATAAAAAATAATAATAATCCTCAAAGATAAGATAAACTTTCCTTTTGGCAACCATAAATATAGCTGTTTGAGTTTGATGTACACATTTTCATTAATAAAAAAAAGCAAGATTTTAAATACTTAAATGAAAGCTCTTAACACACACATAGTATCAGAGAGACTACATACAGTGAATAGTGTGAAGTTTGATTCACCTGTGTTGACTAAAGGGACTTGTAGGTGTAACCCGAAGTTTCGGGATAATTTACCTTGATATACTGCCGCAGATGACCGAGCATGGTTCCGTGTTGTGCAAGTACTGAATGGCTTTGGATGTTCCTATTAACACACTGATTCGTATGTGCCAAGAGAGTGGAGCTGTGTTATCCTAGAAAGACAATAGCAGTTGGTTTGATTGTACTTTCTGAGTAAAAACCATACATGCATTGATTACTTAGAAATAAACCAGTACAGAGCCTCTCTGGTGGCACAAGAGGGTAAGTCTCAGCACTATGAAGCTATCCACAGCCACTATAGCATGAGTTAAATCCCTGGCCAGGGAGGTGACCCACGTGGTGCAGCAGACCTCTCCTGTCTCGCCTGCTGCTCCCCTCAGCAGTGTATTTCTGTCAATCCACCTGTTCTGTTCCCCACTCTGTCTCTGGTGAATCCTCTCATCCCCTGCCCCTCTGCCCTGTACCCCAATTCTTGTATGCATAAATAAATAAATCTTAAAAAAAAAAAGAAATATAGGGCCTCCCTGGTGGCGCAGGGGGTTAAACACTGCACTATGAAGCAATCCGCAGTCTCTGCAGGATGAGTTCTATCCCTGGCTGGCCAGGGAACAACCCACATGGTGCAGCAGACCTCTCCTGACTCGCCCGCTGCTCCTCTCAGCAGCGTATTTCACTCAGTCTGCCTGTTCTGCTCACGGCTCTGTCTCTGGTGAATCTTCTCACCCCCCCCACCCCCCGCATCTTTGGCCTGTACCCCAGCTCTTGTATGCATAAATAATCTTTTTAAAAAATTAAAAAATGCCAACTGTTAACTTTGTTATAAAAATAATACACATATATTCCAGGATTGAAGCTGGTAGTGAAGTGGAATGGGATGGATCAATCAACATTTTGATTTACTGTAACTTATTTTAAATTTAGGATAGGTTTGCTACTACTCTTGAGAACGGTTCTGAGCTTCTTTATAGACAATGGAAATATCTAATAAATTTAATATTAGTTTAATCAAAATATGGTTACTATGTACAAAGGATGATTTAAAAAGATTTTAAAAATCATTTCTGGCACAGCAGTATGCATAATTGAAACTGATTTGCTTTTATTATCATGCTAACTGAAATTTAACATTTGGAGACAATTTCCAAATGTATCTTTCAAAAACATAAGAAATCATGGCATTTATTCAATCTCCTCTTTTGGGGACCTGTATCATTTTATTTTTCTCTTTGGTATCAAAAGGTACTATGTGCAAAGTTATGCAAATCAAAATATCTGAGAAACAGAAGTAGCTAATGTAAAAAAATTTGAGATAGGGAACCAATCAGAAGAAAGATCCAGCAATTCTTCTGCTTGTCATATTGATCAACACACAGTAACTTGGGTATTTATGCAGCCTTCTGAAAGAAATCAGTTTATGGAGAAGTCCTCTACCTCCTTCGGAAACCTATTTGCTATCCCTTCGTGTGAACATGCATTGGTCTCCAGCTCTCAGAAGGTGTCATCCATTCCCACCGGGCTTCAGAGGGTCAGAGTATGGGGCAGAGAAACAGATATGACTTACTACACACTGTAATCTGTCAAAGAGTGATCCATTCCTCATATATGGATACACCAGACAGAACTTTTCAGTCTCTGTAAAATATGCAGCCAACTCTATTATGTTTGGATGATGAAACCTTGAAACAAAAGATTTTTAAATCCATCAAATTGTTTATTCAAATAGGAAATGAACAACATTCTGATTGGGGAGTGGTAAGGTGGGATGGGGAATAGGTCTACAGTCAAATGTAAATAAAATACTCAAATATAAGACAGAAAATTTAAGAGAGTAAAGTTTTCTTAAGATCTGGGGTATTGGGAAGTTTGCAAAAATAGAGAACACAATTTGATATGAATTTATTTTACCAACACAAAACCTAATATAACATAGTTACTCAGTAAAGAATATGCAACTGAAACTATTCATCTCATTGCTTCAGATATACATGTATAAGTAAAGGCACCAAAACAAGAGTGTAGAATACTGGTCATGCATCACTTATGAGTACTATGTCAGGTATTGTACAGGCATCAGTCCCACAGCTAAAGCTTGTATTCTTATCTAAAATCCATCTGACTAGTAGAGTTTAATGGTGAAAAAATATATCATTGCTTTTTTAAATTACAGAATTCTGTCAGTACTGCATACATTTTTCAGGTTCCTTTCCTTTAAAAACTATTGCTTGTATGTATTTGTCATCACTGTGAAAGCCAAGGAGACCCAGGTAACAACTATGAAAGATATAATATGTGAAATTCAAACATTCTATAATGCAATTCAATTCAACAACAATTTACTGGACTACTCATATGTTGTAGGCATGCTTGTGGCTATTAAAATAAATAAAGCTACTGTTAAAAATGGTTCTAATTTATAAAGGAATCCATTATTCACTTCTTCAGTAGCAAAACTTTCATAAATATATTCCTCTGATTCCCTTTATTGCCGTTCCTCTAGGAAGGAAGTATGCATGTGTGTATACAAACACACAGAGAGATTTTATTTTTTACTTATTTACATTTTTAACACACACCATTTACTGAGTTTTGGGGAAGAGGATTTTATTTTTCAATATGTGTGAAACTTTTGGGACATCAGATCCCTGCACCTCAGTCCATATCTATAAGATAAAAAACAATGGACTGGTAAGGAACTGAACTGGTGTCTTGGGTGGCTCACATAGTTGATCTACACCACTAGATGGTCAATTTGCTTGCAAATTAAAATAAGTCAAAAAGATAGAAATCTTTTGAAAGCAGTAAATAGACACAGTCATAGCTGTGCTCTGCTCTGTTGTTCAGAGTGGAAATGACCATTTGCTTATTTAAAAATATTACTGATTAATCAGAAAAATGGACTTTTTAGAAGCCAGCAAGATTAGGAACATGAAGATGCCACAGAGAAAGATCATTGGTTTCGAGTCTATGGACCCATCACCCTCCTTTCACTACAAATTTTTGTCACTGAGATTTTATATATATAAAGATCAGTAGACTCCTGATACCTTTCAAAATCAATTCCACAAGTATTTCGGAGTGTCTACTACAGATAAAACATGATGCAAGCGACCACGATGTGCAGAGAACACAGGCTTGAACTACAGACAAATGTGGGTTTGAATATGAGTCTTCTTTCTATCAGCTTTGTGAACTTGGGTAAGTTATTTCATCTCTATGAATCTGTTTCTCTTCTATAACCTGAACTACCTCTCCCAAAAGTTCATATAAAATCATAACTCCCAAACAGACAATTATAAACCAGAGACATCCTGCTGGGGAGGAGGAAGGAGACAGATCACAGGGAGGGAGGAGCACAGGGGACTGTGGTGATGGTGCACGGGTGAATTGGGGGAGGAAATTCTATGGGGACTACATAATATATTTATGGTACCTCTTGTGTGAAAAGAGGAAACTGAGAAAACAAAATACATATATTGCAAAAAAATACATATATGAAAAAACATACAAGAAATTGACAACTCCATTGCCTTTGTGTTAAGTCAGCTGGGCGGTTGGATGGTAGTGGAAGAAAATCTTTTTTTGGTTTACTCTTACGCACTTTTGAAATTCTGAAATGTTTGAACTTATTACTGATCCACAAGCAAATAAAGTTTAAACACAAACCCTCTATTACAATTTTGGTTTTAGATTTCTGTTGAACAAACTATACTCATTAAGTTTTTATGATTAGCCGCTAATGTTTTGATTTCTGGTCTCAGGTATAAAAGGTGAAGAGTTTAGTATACAGTTTCCTTACCATCCCCTTTTCCCCCTTTACACAGAGGTTTAGAAAACATTTGAAAAGAACATTTTCTATATGTGAAGGGTGATGAGTGAACTCTATACGGTTAGGGACCTTCAATGAGGCAGGATGCAAGCTGCAAATACGAATATATATATATGAAATGAAGTCATTTTGGTTTGTCTCCAAGGAATCTCAGGCTCATGAATGAATTCCCAGAAAATCATATGCACATCAAAAGCACTTGATTTCTTTGTCTAAAACACTTTCTGAGGAGGGTTTAACGGATGAAACAGTTTCTTGACTGGAATGTCTCTAAGGAAGGGGGAAATGGTAAAGTATATACAATTTTAATGTTCTAAGAATTATTTTATATTCCACTATGTTAGTCACACATGATTTAACCCACTTCTTTGTGACAGCTTCTTGTTAAAATATGTTCAAGGGAATTATGTAAATGGCCTGTTTTAAGATGTATTCTAAGGAATAGAGTAAAACAGATGTCAAAAACTTAGCCAGTATTCTAATATCCACCCCACATTTATTAAATGTCAACCATGCAAAGCACTGTTATGGAATCAAAGATGAACAAAAATGAAAATCAGACACAAAGGCAGAAATTCCAGACAAAATATACTCACAGTAATAAAACTTCAAGCTCAGATAAAAACTTCTTCCATTGTTTCTTCCAGTGCACATTTTTTGCCTAAGTATCATACAGAAAAAAATAAGAAGAAAAGTAAGGGAAGGACCTTTATTTCTGGAATTCTTAATCCAGGAATTTCAGTCTTCTAATTTCAGTCTCCCTGAAATTAGATGAACTTCTTGGTATAAATGCATATGAACATTTTTCTGGGGAGAGGATCCTTAGCTTTCATCAGATTTTCAAAACTCCACTAACCCCAAAATAGATTTAGAACCAAACTGCTACTGAATTAAAAGCTGCTTATGCTATGTATCATGTTGCCATCAAACTCACTCACCATATTTTTCTGACATTAACATAAATTCAAAAATAGTACCGTTATTCATTTATTTACTTTTTAATTTTTTATATCAATGTTCATTTTTAATATTTGCTTATTTACAGTTATTTAAAGAAAATGCAATAACTCAATCTCACAAAGAATCCAACTGGTGATGACTGTGTTCTGATTAGAAGAAACTTCACTGATCAGGCTGGTATGACTTGTGTCCTTTGCATCTGTTGGTTTAATTTTTCCTTTGTATTAATTTAGAAAAGGTGGGCTTACTAAGCAAATGAAAATCCCAATGCTTTATTTAAAAAGAAAATTCAGAAGCTAGCCCAGTGCCTGACATATAAATATTTATTGAACAAATTAATGAAGACACTGATATTAAACTGAGGACCTGCTGTGTACCTAGCACCGTTCTCAATACCTCCATATACCTCAGGACATTACACGTTTCTGAATCTCAGATTGTAAACTTCCACCATGGAAGAATTGAATTAAGCATATTCCTAGGTCCCATCAGCTGTAAGGGCCTATCATTTGCAAATTCCTAGATGGGGCAGAGTTTTCATATCTTTGCACTCAGAAACACAGAGTGAGAAATTTAGGAATTTTGGAAGTCATAAACAATTAATGACAGTAACAAATCATTTTTAAGGATCCCTTTATGAAAATTTGTATATAAAATCAAAGACCAAAAAATGTTGTATGGGAGCCAGGAGGACAGGGTATCAGGTCTGTCTCTAACTTTACTCACGTGTTGTGAGTTTTCTGTTAGTCACTTAGACCCCCTGAGGTCATAGGTTTCTTAATCTGAAAAGTGAAGGGGTCAGTTATTGTGTTCATCCTGCTAATCTAATACTTGCTGCTCAAAGTGTGGCTTATGGACAAGAAACATCAGCTTCACTGGGAACTCATGAGAAATGCTGAATCTCAGGTTTCTGCCCAGGTGTGCTGAATCAGAATCTACATTTTTAAGATCTCCAGGTGATTTGGATGCAATGATCTAACACACAAAACACATTTCCCTGCCTCTATGAAAGGTTATTGAAATTAATGCCCCAATGTTACAAAACCATATTGTGTTTTTTTGATTGTTTGTTTTTGGTAAAAGATGCTCTGTGGCTAAGGTTTCATTAAATTTTCTCATTTTTCCTATACTTTCTTAATAGGTGACTTTATACACACACACACACACAAACACACACAGAAGACTTTGTAGAGTTTGTAGGTCTTCGGTGCCTTTGTTATCTACTATCTTTTCACTAAGAGTGATTAGCAACTAAATTCTTGAAAAGGGCAGATGTGGTTTATTCAATTCATTAAACAAACATTTATGAGGCCCTGTAACAAGGGCCTGGGATCCAAAGATAAATACAAGCTCTTTAAAGAAAATCATCTAGTCCATTGGGAGAGGTGGATGAAAAAATCAATACTACCGATAATGTGATGATGCTGTCTCTACACTCAGGAGGTCCCCACAACCATGCTGGGGGTTGGAGGCTCTCAAGGAAATGATCACTGTCTCTGGGACAGGAAGGAAAAGGGATCTAGGGGGAACTTATACCCATTCTGAAGTCAGATTCTTGGACAGAAAACTCCCCAAAGGCAGTGTGAGTTGGCAGGTACAGGAAGAAGAGGAAAACAGATGGAATGAGCCTTTGAGGAATGGTGCTAGGATTCAACCAAGAACACACAAATAGTGCCAGAACACACACTGGTCCCAAGGAACAGGCTTCAGTTAGGCCACGCTAGAACAAACACATTCTTTTTGTTGAATGGTTTACCAGTAGATCAGTTCATTTCTTTATTAGTTCATTCATCTTCGAAGAAATTTTGAGATGTTTATATAGAATTAGTGGAGTGAAATGCAATTCAGGGAAATGAAGAAATCAGGTTATAATTTTTATTTGAAAAAAAAAGCTCTACTGTCTAAGCATAGTAGGAATCACCTTATAGTCCTCCTTCTCCACACTTCTCCAGCCCTCACTAGATTGGCTCATGTCACCTCATTTTATAGCCATGTCCTCCCCTTGCCATCCCCACTGTCTCTGCCCTGGTTCAGGCAGGCATTAATTTCTCATTTATTTCTCCAGTCAACTGAGATCATATATCTTATTTCCATTTATGAAATTTTATATTCAAACACACCTTTCATTGTTGATGAAAAATGACATGTTTTAAAATGAAGTATGAGCAAATACATGGAATTGGTATCCTGTGGTAGCAATTCTTTCCATACCTGTTTAAATAATTTAATGGCATATGCTTGGTTTTGGAGTTCCATTCTGTATACCTCAAACATCTCCCCTTCTCCGATTAAGAAGTCTTTGTGGAAATTTTTTGTTCCCTCTAGAACGTTTTGAAAGCTGATGGAAGATTTAAATGGTATTCCTTAGGAAGAAAAATGGGGGAAAAGATAAGTTACCTTCTCTCTTTTTAAGAACTGTTGCCACCAATATAAAGAACCAGGACTTACTTACTGAAGCACATGGGTCTAATGGAAAGTTAAAACCAAAACTGAAGCCCGCCATGTGCTCTCCACTTTTACTCAGGTCTGGCGCCCACCACTCTTGGAAGCACCGTGACTCTATCACCTTTCCAAAGAGATCAGCCAGAGAGCTTAGTTGGGCAAACTTTTCCAAGTTTCTGTTCCCTTGTCATTAGATTAACATATTGCTGTTGACTTACTATGAACCGAAAACCAATTTGAAAGTTATAGAAATGGAAATCTTTATATGATTAAACAATATTTTCCAAGTCTGATGGACAGGAACACTTTTTCATGAGCCAAATTCTCTAAATGCCTAATTTACTTCCTCAGAGTAAATCAGGAAGATGCTTCAGCTTTTTAAAGAATCATCTACAGCAGAGACTGGTAGGAAACATTTAAATGGTAATCAAATAAAAGTGAAGGGAGCTTTCTTTCTTTATTGGTCAGTGGATTTCAATATAAAAATAATATAGCATTATCCATCAGAACTGTGTCAGTCACAACAGCAGATACTTCAATGTCCAGAATAATTTGATCCTTATTCCGCATATTAGTTAATATGTTTATTAGATATATCTTCCTCTAAATTCACTTAAAAGAAAGTATGCTTTAAAGAAAAAGTTTTTTTTACCTTTTTTATTACGTTCAGGAATAAGAACATCATCTGATGTGACATTGGTTGTTTCCTAAGAGAAGAAATGCATACTAAAGTAATTCCATTTCATAAGTTTAGAAAGAACAGAACCTCAAAAGAAATCCAAATCTTCTCCTGGGACTACAGAGTGCAATAGGATGGAATCTAATTTAGAAAAAAGCTGGTAGAAAGAAAATTTATTTGAATTTTAATTTATTTATTCAATAGTATTCTTCCCCATATAAAGCACCTACGCCAACTATAAAAACTCAGGTATCAATGTCATAGTCAGTTAAAGCCAATTTAAATGACTTCTAATGTTATAAAAAAAAGATCACTGTTAATTTGCTATAATAAAAACTAATAGGAACATGAAAAACATCAACTACAATGAGAAATGAAAAGGTGAGTTAAGACAAATGTGTAACTCATAGCTATCGCTCTTAACTCTGCAAGTATTTATAAATCTCTGATTTCCTGAATCCCAAACTAAACAATGAATAATGAAAGAGCAAAGGATTTTCTGTTTTTAAAAAAGCACCCATGGGTTCAGCATTTTTCTGTTGTCGTCTTTTGTTATGCTCAATTACACATGCAACAAAGTTCAGGAGTTACTATCTATATAAACACACTACCTTAGGTGACATGTTAGAAACTCCTTCTTCTTGAAAGCTATGTTTTGAAGGATTCACAGTTGTTCCTGAAGGAGAAATAAGGAGAGACAGATTGAAACAAAAAAATCAACTATGTCCTACTAAACCTACTTTTTTCTTTTTTCTTAGACAAGTGGAAGTAAATACCTTGCTAGTAATGTTTACTTCTAAAGCTCAGTTCATTCCCACTGAATGCTTGCAAATGGAAAAACTTTCTAAAGGGACCTCCCTGTTGGTGCAAGGGGTTGAGAGGCAACCTATGAAACTATCTGAGGCCACTGCAGCACGAGTTCAATCCCCAGCCAGGGAGCTACCCACATGGCACAGCAGAACTCTCCTGACTCATCGGCTGCTCTCCTCAGCAGTGTATTTCAGTCACTGTGACTGTTCTGTTGCCGACTCTGTCTCTGGTGAATTCTCTCAACCCCCACACCTCTGGCCTGTACCCCAGTTCTTGTATGCATAAATAAATATTTAAAAAAAAAAAGAAAAACTTTCTAAGGATCAAATATTATAGAAACATACTTTTGTTGACTTAAAGAATAAACAGCTGGGCCTCCCTGGTGGTGCAGGGTGTTAAGCACAGCACTGTGAAGCTAACCACAGCCTCTGCAGCAAAAGTTCGATCCCCAGCAGGCCAGGGAGCTACCCACATGGCACAGCAGACCTCTCCTGTCTTGCCCAGTGCTCCCCTCAGCACTGTATTTCAGTAAGTCTGCCTGTTCTGTTCCCCACTCTGTCTCTGGTGAATCCTCTCACCACTTGTACCTTTGGCCTGTACCCCAGTTCTTGTATGCAAAAATAAATAAATCTTTTAAAAATGTCTATGTTAAATTGCTAGATATAATTAAAAATATTAAAATATGAAGTACAAAATTAAAAGGAAAAAGCAACACTACCATTTTTTGCACATACATTCTAAATTTTTACAAATTTAGAATTATATATCCCTGGGTTAGTTTATTTTGGGTCATAAGATATTAGAGGGGTGTGTGCATTTTTATTTATTTATTTTTAAAGATTTATTTATTTATGCATACAAGAGCTGGGGTACAGGCCAGAGGTGTGGGGGGGGTGAGAGGATTCACCCAGGGAGCTACCCACATGGCACAGCAGACCTTTCCTGTTGCACCTGCTGCTCCCCTCAGCAGTGTAGTTTGTCAGTCTGCCTGTTCTGTTCCCTGCTCTGTCTCTGGTGAATTCTCTCACCCTCCCACGCATCTGGCCTGTACCCCGGTTCTTGTATAAATAAATAAATTTAAAAAATTAAAACCCTGTTATAGGGCCTTGCTGGTGGCTCAGGGGTTAAAGTCTTAGTGCTATCAATTATATTCAGTCATTGTGACATGACTTCGAGTCTGGCCAACGAGCTAACCAACATGATGCAGTAGACCAGACCTCTCCTGTCTCGCCCACTGCTCCCTTCAGCAGTGAATTTCAGTAGATCCGCCTGTTCTGCTCCCCACTCTGTCTTTGGTGAATCCTCTCACCCCCACACCTCTGGCCTATTCCCCAGTTCTTATATGCATAAATAAACAAAAAATAGATCTTAAAAAAAATTAAACCCTGTTATATTTTTATGTCATTTCTGACATTTTGATTTAGATTTTAGAAAAAAATTATTTTATCTTCTAACTTTTCTAACTTATGTTCTAACATTTCTTAAATTATTTTGCTTAGAAAAGAAGCAAAGGAACATAATTGATAACAAACTTTCCCAAACACTATAAACCAACTGACACCAATTGATTATTCCTGCCAGAATAGAATAATACATGTATATTTAAACATTAAACATTTAAACATTAAACATTCTCTAGTCTCATAGGATTAAAATCAGACAAAGCAAAATCTCTGTTAGCAATGGAATTAAAGTAGATATCTGGAAAATTCACAAATACATGGAAGTTAAATAACAAATTCATAAATAACTAATGAGTCAAAGAAGAAATCACAAGGGAAATTAGACAGCATTTTGAGATGAATGAAAAGAAAAACACAACTGCCAAAAATTAAGACATGGAGTAAAATTAGTGCTTAAAGAGAAATTATAGGTATAAATACTCACCTTAAAAAAGAAGAAACATCTTGATCGTAACTTAATCTTTCACTAAAAGGTACTAGAAAAAGAAGAGCAAGCTAAATTTAAGGAAACGGAAGGAAGATTAGAGCGGAAATAAATGAAATAGAGAATATTTGAAAAACAAAAGAGAAAACCAATGAACCTGAAACTGAGTCTTGAAAAAATCAACAAAATTGACAATCTTATAGCTTGACTGACCAACAAAGAGATTCAAAATGCTAAAACCATGAACAAAAATAAGACATAACTACCAACCTTACGAAACAAAAACAATTAAAAAAGAATACTTCGAACAACTGTATGTCAAAAATTTATATAACTCACATGACATGAACAGATTCTTACAAAGACATAAAATACTGAAATTAGTCCATGAAGAATTATACAATCAGAATGGACCTATAACCCTGAGTGAGAGTGAGAAGGAAGTAATATTTAAAAATTTCCCACAAAGGAAAACCCCCACACAGGTGGCTTCACAGGTGAGTTTTTACTGAACACTTAAAGAAGATTTAACACCAGTTCTTCACAACTCCTTCCAACAAAGAAGAGGCAAGAACAAATTCCAATAATTCCATGAAACCAGTATTACCCTAATATCAGTTACAGATGAAACATCGTAAGAAAAATACAGACCAATATCCCTTATGAATGTAGATGCAAAAATCCTCAATAAAATACTTGTAAACCAAATCCACGAACAAATAAGCACTAGGTATATCATGGTCAAGTGGGCTTACCCCAGCAATCCAAGATTAGTTTAATATCATAAAATTAATTAATATAATACACTACCTTGATAGGATGAAGAACAAAATCCATAAAATTCAATAACCTGTCATGATAAAAACTCTCAGAATATAAAAGAATTTTCTCAATTTTCTCAATTGACTCCTAGGAAAAAGCTACAGTTAACATCATGCATAATTATGAAAGACTGGAAGTTTTCCCTTTTATATATTTTTTTAAAGATTTATTTATTTATGCATATAAGAACTGGGGTACAGGCCAGAGGTGTGGGGGGTGAGAGGATTCACCAGAGACAGAGCAGAGAACAGAACAGGCAGATTGACTGAAATACACTGTTGAGGGGAGCAGCGGGTGAGCCAGGAGAGAGATCTGCTGCCCCATGTGGGTAGCTCCCTGGTGGGGGATCGAACACGTGCTGCAGTGGCTGTAGATAGCTTCATAGGTTGTGTCTTAACCCCTTGTGCCACCAGGGATGCCCCCTTCCCCTTTATATTAAGACAAGGAAAGCATGTCTGGACTGGACATTTCTAGTCAACAGTATACTAGAGGTTCTAGCCAAGGCAATTGGTCAAGAAAAAGAAATAACCAACACCCTGAAGTAGTGATTGTTTTGAACAAAATTTGAATTTGGGGGCTTAAAAGGCACTAGAAGTGATTGTCTTTTGCAGCTCATGAAAAGTGAGATAATACTTTATTGTCATATAAGATGGCAAATTGAAAATGCTCTCCGAAGACATCAGCAGAAAGCTGTAGATTCTGTGTCAAAACTGGAAAACAACTGCTGATCATTAAAAAAAAAAAAGCAAAATATGATATGTAAGACCACGCATGTCAGAGATAGTGTAGCTACATGTAAAATTTCTAGTTTCTTGAATAAATTTGTTATATCCTGAGATGTGAGAAAATGTTTTAGGGATGTGAAAAGACCACCCAGTGGCATCCCCATGAATTGCAGGAACAATGCCTGGGAGGAAGAGCAAGGTCTCCTTGCAGGACTCGCAAGAAAATCGAAATCTACAAAGAGATCTTTGCACGTTGGAATATGAAAGGTAAAAGCTCCTCTACACGAAAGCTATCATATAAAACTAAACAACTTGTGAAATGATAGGCAAAAATGGACTATTTGGATAGCTGATATATCTCTGCCCTTGATAGCAACAGAGAAAATCCTTTTATAAATTTCTAATTAGGAGTTCCAACTCCTAATTCAGTAAGTAGCTATCAAAAGAGACACACTGACTGTGCGCAATGGGTGACCACATTGCTGCTTATAACAAGCTATACAATTAATGTGTTTAATATATCTCAAAGCATCAACTCAATAAATGCAATTAAGTAACAACATTTTCCTTACTGCAGGACTTAGAGCAAGGCATGATGTTCTTCATCTCAGATCTCCTTACTAGGGCATAAATAATTATCTTTCTGCCAATCAGTTAATTCACATTTTGAAAAATGAAAGCAATTTTGCATGTACAACAGATTAGGAGTCAACTAAGAATGTGGACATCTATCTGTCTTCTAACAGTCCACATCATTCACTGCTGTATAAACAACAAAGAGTGGAACCATGCTCTGAAATCTATTCCAGAACACTGAAGTATAAAATGTACCTGTGTATCCTATCATATTGGTATGAGGTTACATGATGAACGGCAAGTCATGTGGGTAGTTACAGTGGCTGGAAAAAAAAGGTTCAGTTAATGAAAAGGGAATGCATTTATAGGTTTCAAGGACACACTGCACTGCATGTGAAGCTTCATAATGAAGTATTTGGTTGTACTAAAAAAGAGAAGTAATAGTGAGCAAAAGACAAAAGTGATTAGTTTTGTTAAACAGATAATATCACAGTAGAAGCCTATTTGGAACTGTCTAATGTCCCATTAATATGAAAAATGTACTATAAAAAGTCAATCTGAAGCTAGAGTTTTATAGCACAAGTTTTTCAGGATTTCTTATTTGCAAGTGCAGAGCTTTTTTTTTTTTTCAGTGACAAGGTAGAGGCTCAAGTGTGCTAAATATCTTACCAAAGAACGTGTGCAAAAATACAAAAACAAATATATACCTAAATAAAAGGAACTAAAGAGAAAGGAAGATAACTCAAGAGTTTCCAACTGAAGAGCCTTGAATCTATAACCTAAGACCCAATATCACTCGTTGATGAGAATAAATCTAAAGTGGAATAAAAAGAATAGGTAACATTAAGAGATTATTTTATTGACAAAGAATGAATGGAGAAAAAGTCAGGAGCTCTACTTATCAGGATACTCTAAATGTAAAGGGTGACATAGCATCAGAGACAGACAAGATAGAGGGAAAAGGAGGTTACTGTGAAGTGGATAGTAACAAGTTAGGCAAGTTAGAGGCCATGGCATGAAAACCTCAGTGAATATAACAGAAAGTCCAGGATTGTACAGAAGGTGTCATTTGCATTAAAATACAGGTGAGGGGTGCAATCATATTTTAAACTTCAATCAATCAATAGAACAAATGAAAGCATTATTTATATTTTACTCAAGTACTGTTTGATTATATTTATGATTTAGAGAGTTTCAGAGTTTTGGACAAAGAGCTCTTAGTTATGAATGAAACATTTTGAAAAGTATAGTTTGTGAAAGGAAAACATATATATTTTTTTTAAGATTTATTTATTTATGCATACAAGAGCTGGGGTGCAGGCCAGAGGGGTGGGGTGTGTGTGAGAGGATTCACCAGAGACAGACTGGGGAGCAGAACAGGCAGCTCTACTGAAATACACTGTACCATGTGGGTCACTGACCATATGGGTCACCTCCCTGGCCAGGGATTGAATTCATGCTGCAGTGGCTGCAGATAGCTTCAAGTGCTGAGATTTAACACCTTGTGCCACCAGGGAGGGTCCACAAAACATATTTTTTAATCCAAAACTATAAAGTGCTAATTAGGAATGTGTTGTATAAGTTTGATAATAAGGAAAGAAAGTGTAATATATATATATATATATATATATATATACACACACATACATATACACACACACATACACACACAAAGTGAAGCTGTAAGACCCCTTGCAGGAAAAAAAACACAGGCAAGGAGTCACTGACATACAGCGTGGCCAGTCAATGCCTTGGATAAACGCAATATTTATATTTACAATTACAAATCCTACCAAATGAACTGAAAGCCAATCAAAAATGAAGTATTCACCATGGTTTGTAATTAACTGGATAGCTCGCTGATGCCCCATCTCCTGAAGAACCTGTAGCAGGTCCCCGATGGTCTTGTTTTTCTGTGCCCAGGACCAAAGTAATTCTCTTGTTCCACTTTTCCCTTGGTCTACATATTTTTCAATGTGACGAACATCCAGCCAGCTGCTTGAAAGCCGCTCCGCTGTAGAAATTACAAAAGGAGTTACCGAAGGATCGCTCACTTTCATTTGAATGCTTGTTTTGTGAATCTCAGACTATGTTTTACTTCCCTTTACTTTTGTATTTTTTATTCTGAATTAATTTCAGCATACACTCTCCTCTTGACCCAACTTTCCCTAATGGTAACATCTCATATAACCACAGTAGAATTATTAGAACCAGTAATAACTCAACTTCATTCTAATTTTAACAGCTTTTAAACTAATGTCTTTTTCTGTTTGTAGATCCTATCAGGTTGCCTGCACTACATTTTTTACTATTTCTTACTCTCCCATGATCTGTGTTCCTCAGTCTTTCCTTTTTTTTCAGAACAGTGAAACATTTTGTGTCCTCAGAGTACAATAGCAAGAGTTTCATGATGTTGATGTTTCATCGCTCGTGATGTTGATCTTGATTACTTAGTTAAGGTGGTGTCTGCAGATATCTCCAGTGATAGTTATATATAATTAGGATATATTAATATAATAATCTCTCTCCATATATATATAGAGAGAGAAGATGTAGGGATAGATAGGATAGAGAGGGAATATAGATAGACTATAATAGAATATAAATTATTTATTATATAATATATGGAATTACTATAATTATAATTAGCAGCTATTTCAGGGAAGATACTTTGAGACTATAGAAATATTCTACTTCTCATATTTGTCCATACATACATCAGTGGATGTCAGAATCATACACACATATACACATACACACACACACACACACACACACGTATGCTTAGTTTGTAGGAGCAGAGGGCTCACAGATGGGGTCCTGAAGGGGTTTTGACCACTTTTTGTTTAGAAATACTGCTGGGCAATAGCATTACTGTTGTCAAGTAAGATAGGGGAATAAGAGCACCCAGAAGGCAAGCAAAATAATAAGAAGGGGGCCTCCCTGGTGGCACAAGGGGTTAAGACAAAACCTATGAAATTATCCACAGCCACTGCAGCATGAGTTCGATTCCCAGCCAGGGAGCTACCCACATGGCACAGCAGACCTCTACTGACTTGCCCGCTGCTCCCCTCAGCAGTGTACTTCGGTCAATCTGCCTGTTCTGTTCCCCACTCTGTCTCTGATGAATCCTCTCACCCCCCACACCTCTGGCCTGTACCCCAGTTCTTGTATGCATAAAAATTAAATCTTTTAAAAAAATAGGGCCTCACTGGTGGCTCAAAGGATTAAGATGCAATCTACGATGCTAGCTGCAGCCACTGCAGCACTTCAATCCCCGGCCAGGGAGCTACTCACATGGCCCAGCAGACCTCTCCTGACTGGTCTGCTGCTCCCCTCAGCAGTTTATTTCAGTCAACCTGCCTGTTCTGTTCCCCACTCTGTCTCTGGTGAATCCTCTCACCCCCCCAACTCTGGCCTGTACCCCAGTTCTTGTGTGCATAAATAAATAAATCTTAAAAAAAAATAACAAGAAGTGTTGGGCCTTCTTGCCCTGAAATATGCACAGATTTTTTTTTCCAAGGACAGAGTTGCTGGTTGAGGCGGGGAAGGGCAGTTAAAACCCTCCCCCTCCACATTTTGAGTTCATCTAGAAGGTATTCATTCTTCACCTGGAAGACATAATACCTCACAAAGAGGTAAAGACTATACAAATGCCAATATATATGCTTTATTTATTTCTTTTTGAAGATTTATTATATATGCATACAAGAACTGGGGTGTAAGCCAGAGATGCGGAGGGTGAGAGGATTCTCACCTTTAGAGAGTGGGGAGCAGAACAGGCAGATCTACTGAAATACACTGCTGAGGGGAGCAGTGGGCAGCGGGCGAGACAGGAGAGGTCTGCTGCACCATGTGGGTAGCCCCTTGGCAGGCTGGGGATAGAACTCATGCAGCAGTGGCTGGGGATAGCTTGATAGAGCTGTCTTTAACCCCCGCGCCACCAACAAGGCCCTGCCAATATGTTTTAGATAGCTTATCACCAAAGAAAAACAAAGCTTCTTCAAAGCAAAAATATTTGGCAAGATGTGGTAACTAATGTATCTCTTTTTGATGACTTAACTTGCCTGTTTGGCTGAGGCACATTTTTTTCATTAACACTTCCTTTAACTCTTTCTAGGAAATACTGCAAGTCAGTGTAATTCAAACATTTGTTGAGTGTCTACTGTTTAGTAATGGCATATACAAAGTGGGAGTGGGGAATAAAGAGGGACACTAACTAAAGATGGGGGCATCATAGAAGACCTCTTAAAGGAGTGGTTTCTGGAGCTTGAGTCAAATTTAAAACTACGAGTATTTCTTTTTTTCCTTTCTTAAAGATTTACAAGAACTGGGGTACAGGTCAGAGGCACGGGAGGGTGACAGAATTCACCAAAGACAGAGTGAAGAGCAGAACAGGCAGATGGACCGAAACACTGCTGAGGGGAGCAGCGGGAGAGACAGGAGAGGTCTGCCGTACCACGTGGGTTTCTCCCTGGCTGGCCGGAAACGAACCCGCTCTGCAGAGGCTGCGGACAGCTTCACAGCATGGTGCTCAACCCGCTGTGGCCCCAGGGAGGCCCAAAAGAGGTCAGTTCTGAAGGAATTATTGGATAGAGTATGCTATTGCGAAGAAAAAAAAATTCCTGGCTTTTTAGTTTGAAAATAAGACAAAAGAGTAAACTCTAAGACCCATAGACTCTACTGGCTTCTAAGAAAAGTCACCAGTCAAGACAGAACATCCCTGTGGACCCGTGGGTAGATGCAGGAATATGTAGGTTTAGTCTTGGGTCTGCCATGGCCTGTGGTGCAACTCCAGGCAGAGGTGGCCTCACCAAGCAATCTCAACCTTCTTATTAGTAAATGTCCTTTGAAGTTGTCCCTCCCAACATACCCCAAATTTGGCTGCCCCTTTCTGGCCTGTTGATTATATGAGCTCTCACTTAAAAACACTTATAGTCTTAAAAACACATCGTAGCCTCAAAATGAACATCCCAATTGAGGGAACACTATCAAATTGCAGCAAAGGGAAAATTAAGATTTCTACTTCCTCTGAATTAATTGGCTAATCTTTATAGAGTACCAGGCTTAATGTACCACATAAAGGAATAATTAAAATTCACATAACATACAACAGAGTTCTTTTTAAATATTTATTTTATTTATTTATGCATACAAGAGCTGGGGTGTAGGCTAGCGGAGGGGGAAGGGTGAGAGGATCCACCAGAAACACAGTGAGGAGCAGAACAGGCGGATTGACTGAGATACACTGCTGAGGGGAGCAGCGGGTGAGACAGGAGAGGTCTGCTGCACCATGTGGGTCAGCTCCCTGGCCAGGGATCGAACTCAAGCTGCAGTGGCTGCTGATAGCTTCATAGTGCTGAGACTTAACCCCTTGCGCCATCAGGGAGGCCCTTTTTTTTTTTCCTTTTTAATACAAGTCTCCTCCTCTATACTTGGAATCTTGGGGATAAGACATCTGCACCAAATTTAACAGGGGAGAAGGAAGATGGTCTCTTGGACAACCACAGCCAGAGTGCAGGGTGAAGGTAAGGGGAGATCAGCTGACTTGGCAAGAGGTGTGGATGGTAAAAAGGTATAAATAGACAGAGGGTAGGGGAGGAGCCTGTCAGATAGAAAATTATTTCAAAAATGGAGAAAAGGGCTAGAGAAGGCAATGTGGAGGCAGGTATGCTTAGAGCAAGGCTTCTTTTTAAAGAAAAGGGGACCCAGCACCATGAAGTTTCTACCTCCCTTTGTAAAAATGCACCTAGCACACAGCAGATGCTCAGTACATATCAGCTGAATGGCTAACAGAAGTCCTGGTGTTAGCATAAGAACTTAAACTTTATCTTGAAAGTACATGGGCCAATAAAAGATTTCAGGGGCCTCCCCTGGTGGCACAGGGGTTGAGCGCTGGGTTGCGAGGCTGCCCGGCAGCCTCTGGAGAGCCAGTTCGATTCCCAACCATTGGCAAAGGTCCCACAATTAAAAAAAAAAAAAAGATTTCAGAACAGGTGACACCAGGTTTTCTTTTCAGAAGATACATCTAGTGAGCAGCACAGTAGGCAGGAGTCTCCTATACTCCATTTGCACATTAAAAGGTATAAAGTCTGTTGTTCAGGATACTCAAAGTAGGAAAGGAGCAGTTTATAACTGTTAAGGAAAATTTAGAATTAGAGGGCCTCCCTGGTGGCGCAAGGGGTTAAGCACCGCACTATGAGGCAATCTGCAGCCTCTGCAGCATGAGTTTGATCCCCGGTCTGCAAGGGAGCTACCCACATGGTGCAGCAGACCTCTCCTGTCTCGCCTGCTGCTCCCCTCAGCAGTGTACTTCGGTCAAACTGCCTGTTCTGTTTCCCACTCTGTCTCTGGTGAATCCTCTCACTCCCCGCATCTCTGGCCTGCACCCCAGCTCTTGTATGCAAAAATAAATAAATCTTTAAAAAAAAATTTAGAATTAACTTTGTAAGTCCCAAGGGATGTCAGATTGCCCACATAGGTCTATTCCCTATTTTTTTCTTTCTTTTCTCAATTTTTGAATTTTCTTTTAGAAGTGCAACAGGTCACCATTGTGTGATCTCCCATCCTCCCTAAGAGACTAATGATGTAAGGCACTTACATTGAGCTGGAGTGAGAATGAGCAGATGTCAAATAAGTTGAGGTTTTAGTTCCCTAACAATGACCAGGAGCAAAGGGTTCTAAGTTTTCACTAAATCCAAATAAACCAGATTAAGCAAAAGCATTGTTCTTAGAGGAATATTTCCTGCATGAAACAGACCTGGGTTCATTTACACTGGAACTGTTTGCATCGGTTGTTTCTACTAGGACTGAAAATGAAATATGCTTTCTCATTCTCTGGTGACTCACAGTGCAACCTTACTAGCTTTTCTCCAATGATGATGTTTTCTGAATAGAAAACCACTAAAGAGTATTAGCACCCACAAAATGTATAGCTCAAATTCTATAAAACAATAGATTCAATTTGATGGGACAGGAATTATATTTTTCAATATTCATAGCTTTCTCTAATCC